ATGCACTTAAACATGTATAGCAATTTCATATGGAATAATTTAACAAATAGAATAATTTTTTTAACTTCCTGTTTTGATTTTTATGATAAAAGTATAAGTAAAGCATATAAAGGGTCTGGTGCTGTGGCTCACACCTGTACTTTTCATACTTTAAGAGGCTGAGGTGGGCAGATCACTTGAGGCACGGAGTTCAAGACCTGCCTGGGCAACTTGGCAAAACCCTGACTCTATTAAAAATACAAAAAAATTAGCCAGGCATGGTGTAGTACACACCTGTAATCCCAGCTACTTGGGAGGCTGAGACAAAAGAACTGCTTGAACCTAGGAGGGAGAAGTTGCTGCAGTGACCCAAGATTGCACCACTGTACTCCAGCCTGGGTGAAAGAGCAAGATTCTGTCTCAAAAAAAAAAAAAAAAAAAAAAAAAAAAAAGCATAGAAAGGTCCTGACAACTTAAGAGGTGAACTGAAGAGGATGGGGTCTAACAAATTTCAGATAAGAGGAACATTAAAATGGAAGTTTTTAAATGTTGGGAATTTCTGATAACCTAGATTTCTTAAAAATTTATGAATGCAGTTTCATATTTCAGATAATCTGATCTGTATCTAAGCAGATAGTTTGATAACTAAAAGATAAGACATTGGACCAAAAATCTAAAACATAGGGAGGCAGTAGAATTTTTTACTACCTTTAGAGGCTGTGTTCCTTAGGTGTTTTTTTCTTTTTTAAATAGTAGGGCATTTACCATCCTTATCTGATGACCATAACTTTTAGTATTTATTTGAAGACAGATTTCTATGCAATGTTTAAGTACCATTGAAGCAGAATCAACAAGGGAAGTCTGTAAATCACTTAGCACTCCGTAAATGTCTACTACGTATTAATGAAGTTTTGTTAATTATGTTAAAACAGTGAAGCAGACAGTTCAGTGGAATAAAATGTTTTTAAAAGTTAAAACCTCAAAGAGTTTGCTTTTGTTTTATCTATTCTTTTGAAAACAAGCAATTCAAGAGGAACAGAAGGGAACAAATTGCTTCTTCCTTTCCAATTTGGATGCCTTTAAAAAAAACACACACAAAAACACTGTCTCACTGTGTTCCCCAGGTTGGAGTGCAGTGCTCTTCACAGGTACCATTATAGCACTACAACCTCAAACTGCATGCAGGGCTCTCTGAATCCTCCCGTCCCAGCCTCCCAAGTGTCTGGGACTACAGGTCCTTTGCACTGTGCTGACTCAGGATGCCTTTCATTTCTTTTCTTGCCTAGTTGCTGTGCTTAGAACGTCTACTACAGTGTTGAATAGAGCTTGTGAAAGCAGGCATTCTTGTCTTGTTCCTGATCTTAAGGGGAAAGCTTTCAGTCTTTCACCATTGAGGATGATGTGCTGGGGGGGTTTTTGTAGTTGCTATTTATCAGGTTGGGCAAGTTTCCTTCTTGTTTGTTGAGTATTTTTATAATGAAATGGTACGGGATTTTGTCTAATGCTTTTTCTACATCAATTAAGATGAGCATTTGGTATTTTTCGTGTTATTAGTGTAGTGTATTACTGATTTTTGTATGTTGAATCACTCTTGCATTCGGGGAAAATACTACTTTGTATGGTATTTGATCCTTTTAATATGTTGCTAGATTTGATTTCCTAGCATTTTATTGAGGATTTTTACTCTGTACTCTGGTCGTATTCCTTAGTTTATTGAGGTTAGAATTCCTTAGCTATTGGTTGATTTGGGGTGTTTTTGATGGCCTTTGTGATTTTAAAGCTTAAAATTTTCTGAAATTATAAAGACAGTTTGTTATTCATTCTGATGGCATAAATTTGAGTAAGTTTTTCTTTGAAAACATGGCACAGTTTGGTAGGGTCAGAAATAAAAGAAATAGAAAATATAACTAGAAAATAAAAAATAGGACATTTTCCATGTCTTGTTATATTTTCTATCTATTTGTGTGTTTTTTGTCAAAGTGTATTCTTTTTCAGTCTGAAGAATCTTTTTTTTTAAATTAAAAGTTAGGCATGTGCACTTAAAGATATACACTTAGATTTTATTTTTTTCAGAACCGTCTTTCTCCTGGGGAAATTTTTATTCTCCATGGATGTCATGAACAAATTGTAAATTGGGTGACAGAGAAAAAAAATTAGGATTTTCGTACCAGCAGTATTTATGTATCTTAAACTCTATGTCTACATGGGATCTTCAAATAGAATTCAGTAGATTTATTTATTTTTAATTTTTAATTTTTTTTAAGCTAGTCAAATTTAGCAGTGGGTGACAAGTAGAAGATTTTTAATAAGCTGTGGAATCCTGACTCCTGGATTGTTAGTGGGACTGTTGATTTTGCCTTTTTGGGGGTGGAAGGTAGTTGTCTCCTGTATGTACCTGGTGGTTAGATGTGTAAAGGAAATATTTAATACATAAATGTTTTATTTCTAAAGTTGTTTGTATTAGTTTTAGTTGTTTGTATTAGGGCTACCAAAACCAAATACCACAGACTGGATGGCTTAAACAACAAATTAGTTTTCTCAGTTTTGGAGGTTCTAAGTTCAGGATAAGAGGCATCAGCAGAGGATTGGTTGCTTCTGATACCTCTCTCCTTGGCTTGAAAATGACTGCATACTTGCCGGCTCTTCACATGATCCTTTTATCTGCATGTGTCCGAATTTCTTCCTACGAGGGCACAGTCTGATGGGAATAGAACTCACTATAATTGTCTCATTTGTAATCACTTCTTTAAAAACCTTATCTGCAAATATGCTACATTTGAGGTATTGGGGGTTATGAGTTCAACATACAAATCTTGTTGATTGGGACACAGTTCAAACCATAACATATACAGGGAAAGGAAGATGAGACAAAATCAGATGGCACAATGCAGTTAAGATGAGTGGTGTGGAACTTGTGAAACTTTAATTTGCCTTTATATACTTGCGTAAGTGCCACAACAGTTAATATTCCTCTTTTACCTTTTTTCAGAACATGAGTTAACTTCTTTTTTTTTGAGATAGGGTTTTCTCCATCACCCGCGCTGGAGTGCAGTGGTATGAACATAGCTCCCTGCAGCCTAGAACTCCTGGGCTCAAGCAATCCACTTCCTTCAGGCTCCCTACTAGCTGGGACTGCAGGCATGGACCACCATACCCAGCTAATTAAAAAAATTTTTTTTGTAGAGATGGGAGTCTTACTATGTTGCCTACGCTGGCCTTGAACTCCTGGGCTTGCCTCCGACTCTTGGGCTCAAAGATCCCTCCATCTCACCTCCGAAGGTGCTGGGATTACAGGTGTGAGCCTCCATACCAGGCCCATACTTTAGGAACTAGATTTAAATTAAAGTTAATGTAAAGACATTGCAGAAATGAATAGGTGGTTTTAGTGATTTGCCTCCAGGGATAATTTTTGTTACATAACTGTTTACTTAATCATTTTGTATAATACCTTTTTGAAAAGTGATCAACTTTAAAAATTTTGGTTAAGTTCTCTGAAGTTTCTTATGAATTTTTATTTGGTACAAGCTTTTCATTCCCACTGAACTACTGAAACTACAATTTTAAGGGTTTTCAACATAAAGTTGTTGGAAAAGTGTATCACAAAGCACCGTTTAGTTTTCATTTTTATTCCACAAGGACTTTGAAATTTAATGCAAATAGGAATAAATAGAACTCTGAATACCTGAATTTTTGTGATGTACAGTATATTTTGGTTAACATACTCTTAAAACTTGTATTTTGTTAATGAGTGTTGTTTTGGAATTTCTCTTAAGGTTTTCAAGCTGTATCAGTTTTTCTCCCTCATCCCATAGGAGCATTTAAACATTTTCACTTCCATTGTCAATTTTACACTAGTTGTATTTACTTTTTATATCTAGTGACAAGATCTTAACATTTCTACATTTCTTTCTTTTCTTTCTTTCTCTTTTTCTTTCTCTCTTTCTCTTTCTTTCTTTCTTTTTCTTTTTCTTTTTTTTTTTGGAGACGGTGTTTTGCTCTTGTTGCCCAGGCTGGGGTGTAGTGGCGGAATCTTGGCTCATTGTAACCTCTGTCTCCCAGGTTCAAATGATTTCCTGCCTCAGCCTCCTGAGTAGCTGGGGTTACAGGCACATGCCACCATGCCCAGCTAATTTTTTTTTTTGAATTTTTAGTAGAGACAGGATTTCACTATGTTGGCCAGGCTGGTCTCCAACTCCTGACCTCAAATGATCTGCCCACTTTGGCCTTCCAAAGTAGTAGATTACAGGCATGCGTGAGCCACTGTGCCCAGCCTGTGTCTTCCTTTTAAAACATAACCACCATACCATTATTACATCTAAAGTGACTGTTCCTTAGAACCATTTAGTAATATCCAGCTTATGTTCAAATTTCATAATTTTCTTTTCTTTTTTATAAGGTTGGCTTGTTCACATAAAGGATTCATATTCATACTAGGTCTGGGATGTATTTAGTTCATCTGCACACTAAAAGCCACTATTTGTTGTAGAAACCAGCTCATTTAACTTTTAGATTACCCCATGACCTGGATTTGGTGTATTACTTCCCCTAGATGTTTTTTGACTTGTTCCCCATCTTGAATGTCCTGGTAATGAGTAGTTAAATCAGATCAAATTTTGTTTTGGGTAGGCACAAGACTACATCATAGATGGTACTCTGTATTTCATTTTGGGTTATATCAGGAAACACTTGATGTCTACTCATCTCATTTTTTTTTTTTTAAATAAAAATCTATACTGAGGTGTACTTTATGAAAACACCGGTTTTAAGTTTATAATTTGAGGTTTGACAAATGTGTACAGTTGTAATAACCACCACAATCAAGATAATGGTTACCCAGAAAATTCCCTCACTTCTTACAGTCATTCCCCTTCCAAGCTGATCTATTTTCTATCACTATTGTTTTGTCTTTTCTAGATTTTCATTACAAATAGAATCCTATAGTAGTATGATCATTGTAATGTAAAGGCGATAATTTTTGGCCAGGAGCAGCAGGTCTAATTCCTTCCATTTTTATGTGACAGGGACTTGCCATGAGGTGTTGAAGGCTTGTTTCACTGAGTTGGAGAGACTGGACCTAAATGGCGCAGCATGACTTTGCTCCAGCCTGGCTTAATTTCCCTACTCCACCATCATCAACAAAGGTACTCTTTTTGCATCTCTCTTTTTGTCTTTCTGTCTGCTTCTCTATACAAATGTAATTAAGTCGCGGAGGAGTAATAATATCTTTGCAGAGAAGTACTTTTTATGGCCAGGTGTGGTGGCTCATGCCTGTAATTCTAGCACTTTGGGAGGCCAAGGCAGGCAGATCATCTGAGGTCAGGACTTCCAGACCAGCCTGACCAACATGGAAAAATCCCATCTCTACTGAAAATACAAAATTAGCTGGGTATGGTAGCACATGCCTATAATCCCAGCTACTCAGGAGGCCGAGGCAGGAGAATTGCTTGAACCCGGGAGGTGGAGGTTGCGGTGAGCTGAGATTACGCCATTGCACTCCAGCCTGGGCAACAAGAGCAAAACTCCATCTCAAACAAAAACAAAAAAACCCCAACGTTTATATTACCATCTAAGTTATTTAATTTGTTGGTTTTATTAAATTTTTTTTTTCTTTTGAGGTGGAGCTTTGCACAATCTCAGCTCACTGCAGCCTACACCTGCTGGGTTCAAGTGATTGATATGCCTCAGCCTCCCGAGTAGCTGGGATTAATAGGTGTGGGCCACCATGCCTGACTAATTTTTGTATATTTATTAATAGTAGAGGTGAGGCTTTGCTGTGTTGGCTAGGTTGGTCTTGAACTCATGATGTCAAGTGATTTGCCCAAGTTGTGGGATTACAGGCTTGCGCCACCATGCCCAGCTCGTTCTATTAGTTAAAAAGGCAGTTTTTTTTTGTTTGTTTGTTTTTATTATACCATCAGTGTACTAAGCCATTTATTTCAAAGTTGTCTTTGGTAGTAATCAGACTTTCACAGATTTTAGTTTATAACAGTCACATACTTTGAACAGAGCATCTTACCTTTTTCTATACTGTTTTTTACTCTTATATGGATTGCCTTGTAAATAATGATAACATACATGGTGTATTTCAGTTCACAGAGTGCTTTGCTGAACATTGACTAATTTGTTCATAATTCCATGAATGTGGTGATTTAGAATTATTCTTAGTTCTTGCTGTACGCATTTTAAATATTGACCTCCTTTATGATGAAAAGTGAAATGATTGAGGTGCAGAGTATAAAAGGTTTGTGCACAGTCACTTTGGGATGAGGGTGATTTATCTGAGTTCTCTGTCTTTCCTCATCTTTCTGTAAAGCTGTTTGCCTCGTTTGGTATCAAACCTGTTAGTCTCCATTAATTCCCACCTGATTGCTCTATTGTTTTCATTAATGCTTGGGGGCTTAAATTGATCTGTGCTGTGATCCACTTTAGTTATGGCAGGAGAGATTTTTGGGCCCAGTCTCCTGAGGTTGGTTCTGACCCTAGTGGGGCTCTTCTTAAGTATCTCTTTGCTAGGTTCATTCAGAACTAGCTGGCCTGTTATTCAGCTTACTGCTTTTCATGGAGAGAAGCTACCTGCCTCTTATTTTCTTAATACCAGTATCTCTGTTGTTTTTCAGAGGGCTCTTAGTCTTTGAATAAAGCTAGTTCCTTTGAGAGACTGCTTCTCACTCTTGACAAAATCTTTGAGTCACTACTCCATGCAGTAGGTGACACAACAGCCTGAGTCTTCTTGGTTTGTTAAAGTGCCAAACTACTGCCTTATTAGATAGCTGGAGCAAGAGCATTGGGGTCCTCAGTGTTCTTGTGCTCATGAACCTGGGGTAGAGCCTTCATTCTATGAGTGGGGTTTGGGTAAAATAAAGGAGCCCTAGATTTCTTGACTGTAGTTATCAGGAATGTAACTTCAGTTGGAATTGGAGAGGGTGAGAAATGTTGGCAGCCTGCCTCTTCTAGTAAGGGGTACCCTTGTTTAGGGGGTTGAGGGGAGGGAAACCTGTCTCCTTGATCACAGCTGCCGAGATTAGATGGGGGAAGGGGTAGTAGAAATGGGCTTTTTTGATAGATTTTATGCCACTAGTGATTTCTTTATTGTACCTGAGCAAGTCAACGAGTACACCACACTCAGAGATTGAATTATGAGTCCTTTATTATGCCAGCAACCAAGAGGTGGCTAACGCCCAAAATTCTCTTGGCCCCTAAGAAAAAGTTAGGTGGTCTTTCATACCCTAGTTAAAGGGAAGAGGAAACCCAGCTGAAGCAAATTTTTCACAAAAGCAGAATAAGCAAAAAGTCCAAAGATAAACTAGTACATGAGAAATAAAACAGTGCCAGATGCAAGGGGTAAAGTTGTCAAAAGACATGCAACTTACAGATAATGGGGGCTCTGGGCACTCGACAGCACCTGCATTCCCAGGCTCTGTTGGTAACTTGGCCTTTTATCAACAAATGCATTCCTGGAGGTGCCCGGTGTCAGCCTGCCCTAGCTATGTATTATAGTTACATACTTAATGGTGGGAAAATAACTAAAGTGAAGAAGCTAAGATGGAATCTGTCCGGCTCAAGAAGTTAACATAAAGCCTGAACAGCTTTTAGTCTGAGTTAGTTTTAGCTGGCAAAAAAGCAGGTTATCACTTTTTTTTTCCTTGGAAATGGAGGCTTGCTCTTGTCGCGCAGGCTGGAGTGCAATGGTGAGATCTCGGCTCACTGCAGCCTCCACCTTCCAGGTGGAAGTGATTGTCCTGCCTTAGCCTTCTGAGTAGCTAAGATTACAGATGCCCACCACCACGCCTAGCTAATTTTTATATTTTTAGAGAGGAGGTTTTACCATGTTGTCCAGGCTGATCTGGATGGAACTCCTGACCTCAGGTGACCCGACCTGCCTACTTTGGCTTCCAGAAGTGCTGAGATGACAGATGTGAGTTAATAGTCTGATTGCAAAGTGGAAAATAGTGGCATATTCTGATAAAAAGTCATAACTTTTTGATTAAATCATTTTGTTAGTGGGGGAACTTTATGATGGGCCTGCCTTCCACCACTATCTAGTGTGTAGACGTAAAACACCTACAGGTGGTCAGAGATCCACCTGTGACTGTCTAAATATTTGCCTCTATATAATGAGACAACAAGAATACAAACAGCCAGTATAATAAAAACTATTTTCAAAAATAGCATTAATTTTCTTGGGCCAGATATGATGGCTCACACCTATAATCCCAGCACTTTGGGAGGCTGAGGCCGGAATCTCTTGAGGCCAGGAGTTTGAGAGCAGCCAGGGCAATATGGTGAAACCCTGCCTCTCTACAAAAGTAAATAACTAAATAAAATAAATAAAAATAAATGAAAATTTTCACACAGATTGAGTTTATTAAAGATTATCTTTCTTATAAATACTAGTTAACTTATCACTTATGAAATTTTTTTATAGTAATTTATACTTTTGGTTCAGTCATGATGGAAGGTAATTTCTGTAGGTGTTTTGGCTTTTCTAGACTATAAGACCTATGCAAAAGGAAAAAAAAAAAACCACCAAAAACTGTTTTTCTTCTCTACTCTCAACACAGAACATATCTGTGACCAAATATTTTGGAGTTCCTCCCCACCCAAAGCAGTAGCAGACATTACCTGGGTATCCTATATTTCAGTTCTGACTGACACTGTCTGCTTGGCATAGTGTCAGATCCCACAGTCCCACAAAGACTGCCTTCACTTCAGATGCTAATAGCCAGCCCCAGTCACCACTACTTCTCACTGGTTTCAAACCAGGGTTTCTGCAACCACCGCATTGGGTCTGAACAATTTGCTAGGGTGGCTCAAAGAATTCAGGGAAACAACTTTTGCTGGTTTATTATAAAGAATACAGGTGAATAGATTGATATGGTAAGGTATTGGGTGACAGGAGGTGGTGTGTGGATCGTCCTTGCTCTGTCTGGGTGTACCACCCTCCCAGTACATCATGTGTTCAGCAGTTGGTCTGTGGTTGGGGCTGAAAGTTTATACCCTCTGATCCCTTGATTTTTCCTGTTACTGCTCTATGCTGAGAATATCAGGGGCCCCAGTCTAAGTGACCATTAACATAAACTTGAGTTATGACAGGGACTTGATAACTTGGTTTTAGCTCAAGTGATCTGCCTGCCTCTTCCTCCCAGAGTGCTGGGTTAACAGGTGTGAGCCATGGTGCCTGGCCCAGAAACAATTATAATTTGGAGTATTTTTCCCCAATAAGGACTTACCAGGTCCTAATGAATTTTGGCCATGTGTTGAAAAGATATATTGAAATGACAAAATTCTTTGATAGAATAGAATTTTAGGGTTTGAAGATGGATCTTAGCAATCATCGAAACCTTCTTATTTTATGCAGATTTTGGAAGGTTAGCTAACTCAATTGACTGTCTTCACATAGCTGATTAGTGTGAACCTAGATTCGAATCCAGAATGCATCTGCTATTCTGTGATCTTTCCATAGGACTCATTTTGGAACTCTGTAAAATAAGTAAAAATTCATTGACTGTATGTAAAAAAAAAAAGGGACTTCAGACCAGGTGTGGTGGCTCACACCTGTAATCTCGGCACTTAGGGAGGCCAAGGTGGGTGGATCACCTGAGGTCAGGAGTTCGAGACCAGCCTTGCCAACATGGAGAAACACTGTCTCTACTAAAAATGCAAAATTAGCCAGATGTCGTGGTGTGTGCCTGTAATCCTAGTTACTCGGAAGGCTGAGGCAGGAGAATCACTTGAATCTAGGAGGCTGAGGTTACGGTAAGCTGAGATTGTGCCATTGCACTCCAGCTTGGGCAACAACAAGAGTGAGATTCTGTCTCAAAAAAAAAAAAAAAAAAAAAAAAAAAAATCTGGAAAGATAAATTAAACATTAAAAAAATTGTAAATATTTCTTGTCTTCATTTAAATGTTAACTTGAGGTTAAGATTAGTAATTTTAAAAATAAAAAAAAAAAATAGAGATAGTTTCACTATCTTGCCCAGGCTGGTCTCGAATTCCTGAGCTCAGGAGATCATTCTGCCTTAGCCTCCCAAAGTGTTGAGATTACAGATGTGAGCCATTGAGTCTGACTGATAATTGTTAATGTGCATTGAACTTCTTAGTGCTTTTTGGAACCTGACTCTTAATTTGTATAGTTCCTCATAATGATGATGGTTTTGATTCTTAGAATTTGGAACTGCCAATTCTAAATTCTGAATTTTTCTAATTGAAAATTATCTTTAGAAAATAGTTGACAATTCCAACTCTTTTATCTTTTTTTTTTTGAGATGGAGTCTTGCTCTGTCACGTAGGCTGGAATGCAGGGGCCTGATCCTGGCTCACTGCAACCTCTACCTCCTGGCTTCAAACAACTTTCCTGCCTCAGCCTTCGGAGTAGCTAGGATTTCAGGTGCCCGCCATCACACGCAGCTGATTTTTGTATTTTGTATTTTTGGTAGAGGTGCTGTTTCACCATGTTGGCTGGTCTTGAACTCCTGACCTAAGGTTATTGACCTGCCTCGGCCCCCCAAAGTGCTAGGATTATGGGCATGAGCCATTGTGCCTGGCCCAATTTAAACTCTTAACTAGCAATATTTGAGATTTGTTTCTTTGCCCAGAGTGGTTTTGACAAACACGTACCTTCTAGTGATACTTTTATTATACCCTCTCATCTTATTCTTTCCTCTTTCAGAATCATTGTTTATGAATTTTATTTGTAATTAACCTCATTTTCTGCCATAGACTTGTTTACCCACATCATTTCTCTTTAATCTTGGCCTGAGTAACTGGAACAGACATTAATCACTATTGCATTCTCTATTTAAAGTAAATGGCAGTATTTATTTTTTGTTTGAAAAGATGACATGAAGACTTGAATTAAGGCTAAAAATGTTTTCAGAACTGTACGGCAGTAGTTTTGAGATTTGTGGAACTTTAGCCCCATCATCTGGTAAAATTTTGAACTGCATGGGGCTGATTATAAATCTTTGATTTAGAGCAGTGACTTTTAAACTGTTGTGACCTGTAGTGAGAAGGATATTTTACACAATACAAATTTCATATACCTCTGGTGCACTAATGTTTTCGTCTGTGGTTTTCTGTTTTTCTATTCCATTAAAAAAATGCCAGTTGTGACTGATCTCATAATTTGTTAATAAGTCCTGACCAGCAGTTTGAAAGTATTGCTGAAAAAATATTGAACGAAAGCAGTTACAGATACTGGAAAATTTAGATAAGTAGCAAATTCCATTTGTTATGCTAGGAAGGATGACAAAATAAACCCTGTAAACAGGATGTTGTATTTTCGTAATTATTTGATGAAAGATTTCAGGGGTGTGTTATTAAAAGGGTAGATGAATGGTATGAAATAGAAATTTAGAGAATTTTTTTCTTTTTAAACAGAGCAACAGAACAAAATAAAAAATGTATTATGGTGAAACTTTACTATGATGAATGCATTTTCATATTTGCATTCACTAATCTGTAGTTATCTCTGTAACTAGTGTATAGTAGCAGCATTTTTTATTTTATGGCAGTAAAAACATTTTGAATTTTATTTTTAATTTTTTTAATTTTTAAAATTTTTTCAATTTGATTTTTTTCATTTAATTTTTATTTTTGTAGAAACAGGTTCTCACTGTGTTGCCCAGGCTGGGATTATAGCCTTGAGACACTGCACCTGGCCTTAAAACTATTTTTAAAAACAGTTCAGAGAGAGAGACAACGTAAGAGGGAAGATGGTCTCTGCCTTACTTGTTGTAATAAAACACTATATAAAGGTAACAAAAATCTTAACATGGTAGACACTCTTATCTCCCTCTACCCCACCATTTACGGGTGGGGGAACTCAGGTTGAGCGATTAGGAAATTTGCTGAGAAGTACTGGAGCTGGAATAGGAAGCCGAATGTATCACACTTGAAAATTCATCAGTTTGTTAACTTTCTTTTCTTGATTATTAGGATAGTAGACTAGGTTTCAGAAGTGAAATGTTAGGATGCTTTTATGCAAATGCCAGAATATGTTTTTATCCTAGTTTGGATAAACAAATGAAATAGCAGTTTTTTTTTTTCCCCCTTTTCTTCAAGAATACCATCTCTAGTGTCTTTCTATAGCTGGTCATAGGGAATTCATCTCTTTTCAGTGGCTGTATGAACTATTGAGTGGATTTACATGAATTATATAATTATTACCTATTAATGGACTCAGCTGTAGAAATACCTTGAATTTAATGGTATATTCTTGAATATAATGGTAAAGTAAATATCTAGCAGCAGAATTGCTGGGTCAGAATGTTTGTACATTTTGGTAGGTAATGCCCAGTTACTCTCCAAAAAGTTTGAATCTACTTAAAATCCCATTACAATTTTGTTTTTTTCATCTCAGCAACCCTGGATGTTTTCATTTTTACATTTTTGTGAAATTAGATGAATGATGGTATTTCGTTTTGATTTGCATCACTAATGAATTACGATTGAGCATGTTTTTGTGTTAGAAACTTTTTCAGAATTACTTGTTAATGTAATCTGTTTCTTTTCTCTTGTTTTCTTTTTTCTTTCTCTTTCCTTTTTTCTTTTTCCTTTTTCCTTTCCTGAGACGGAGTCTCCTTCCGTCGACAGGCTGGAGTGCAGTGGAGCAATCTTGGCTCACTGCAACCTCTGCTTCCTGAGTTCAAGTGATTCTCCTGCCTCAGCCTCCTGAGTAGCTGGGACTGTAAGCGCACGCCACCGTACTTGGCTGATTTTTGTATTTTTAGTAGAGATGGGGTTTCACCATGTTGGCCAGGATGATCTCTCTCTCCTGACCTTGTGATCTGCCTGCCTTGGCCTCCAAAGTGCTGGGATTACAGGCATGAGCCACCATGCCCGGCCCATGATGTAGTCTATTTCATAGTGATTTATAGCTCCTTTCATATTAGGGGGTATGTTTAACATTTATATTTTTTATTTAAATTTTTTTTGTATGGCACCCTAGAACTGAGCAGATGCTATTTATATTGCAAATATTTCTCTGTCTCTGAGGGGAAAAACATTACCCCCCCAACTCATTCTTTATTTTACCCAGATTTCAGCAGGAGAAATGTCTTTAAGGAAATTAAAAAAAAAATCAAGTTGTAGAAAAATATTCGCAGTATAAATGGCATCTGCTTATTTCTGGGGCTAATACAGAAAAACTTAAAAATACTATATGGTGCTAGAATCCATTGAAATACACGCAAGACTGAAAAAAAAAAAAAAAACTGTAACTATAAAGACTTTAAAGATGACGTAAGTACAGATACACACTTGCATTTCGGTCCCTACTGAGTGAGAGAGAAGTAAGTGTACATAAACGTGTGTGTTTTCTAACCTAGTAATAAATAATTGTCTGGCCCTGGCGTGGTGGCTCACGCCTGTAATCCCAGCACTTTAGGAAACCAAGGTTGGTGATCACTTGAAGTCAGGAGTTCAAGACCAGCCTGGCCAATATGGTATAATCCCATTTTTACTAAAAATACAAAAACTAACTGGATGTGTTGGTGGTGCCTGTAATTCAAGCTACTCCTCAAGGCTAAGGCACAAGAATCACTTGAACCTGGGAGGGGGAGGTTGCAGTGAGCCATGATCGTGCCACTGCACTCCAGCCTGGGTCACAGAGTGAGACTCCATCTCCAAAAAAAAAAAAAAAACAAAAATAAAAAAAAAAAAAAAAAAAAAAAAAAAAAAAAAGAATTATCTGTCTTTTTCAACCATTACTATCATTATATTTTTCCCAATGGGCAAGAGATGCCAACTTTGTTGTAATTTTGCATTTTGATTACAAGAGAACCTGACCATGTTTTCATGTGATTGGTGACGCTTCATATTTTTGAGAAATGCCTTTTTGTATCCTTTACTCATTTTTCCCATTGGGTTGTCTTTATTTGTATTGATTTATAGAGCTCTGTTTTCTTTTCTTTTTGAGACAGTCTCTCTCTGTCACGCCCAGGCTACAGTGCAGTGGTGTGATCTCAGTTCACTGCAGCCTCTGCTTCCTGGGTTCAAGCAAATTCTCCTGCCTCAGCCTTCCGAGCAGCTGGGACAACAGGCGTGTGCCACCACATATGGCTAATTTTAGTACAGACGGGGTTTCCCCATGTTGGCCAGGCTGGTCTTGAACTCCTGACCTCAGGTGAGCTGCCTGCCTTGGCCTCCCAAAGTTCTGGGATTACAGGTGTGTGCCACCGTTCCCGGCCCTTTTCAAACATTTTTTGATAATTTTCATGCATTTTCTTTTTAGATTACAGAGTCCACCTGTTTAAATTCTTAAACTGTTGGGAGTTTTGACATTTTTTGATAATTTTCATGCATTTTCTTTTAGATTACTGAGTCCACCTGTTTAAATTCTTAAACTGTTGGGAGTTTTGATTGTGGCTTTTATCAGATTAATGGATTAATATTGGGGCTAGTGACTTTTATACATTGTTAGAACTTTTCTGTATTTCTAATTTTTTGGAATAGCATTGTACGTTCCTTTATTTTGATACCTTTTTAAATACATTTGGTTTGGGGAAAAGGAATATGGAAATAACTTTAAGGGACTTAAAACTGAAGATTCATTTGACAGTTTATCTCTGATGTAGAAGAGAACTTTGAGCTGTAGTGGAAATGTTTATATCAAGTAGTGTGTGATACACTACATTTAATGTTTTGTTATACAAGAAGCATATCATATTTTAACCTGTTTTCCATTGTAATGGCATTTTAACCTTTATGTTTTTTGGAAAAAAAGATGTTGAACTCTTTCTAAGAACGTGTGCTTGTTTCCATTAGGTAGAAGAGAATGGACCAACGGTGAATCCATCATACACATTTAGAGTTCCCCAATTATCAAATACCTTGAAAATAACTGCAAAATGTTTCTCTTAACCATTTAAAATTCTTGGAAATAAGTGAAATTGGAGTATTACTGGCTTTTAAAGTAATATTTAAGTTTTGTAAATGCTTGCCTGTATTTTTTATAATTTGTTTCAGTCGTCATTGAATTTTGAGAAACATTCTGAAAACTTTGCATGGACAGAGAATCGTTATGATGTGAATCGTCGACGACACAACTCTTCAGATGGTTTTGATTCTGCTATTGGACGTCCTAATGGAGGTAAAATTTGCTAAGGAATGATGTTTATGGCTAACTTTATGACTTTTAAAGAAGATTTTGATGTGATTCACTCCTTAAGCCTAACTCTTTTCTTTGAATTTATATTACTTTACTATTATCAAATAAAGGTAATTTTGGAAGGAAGGAAAAAAATGGATGGCGTACACATGGAAGAAATGGTACGGAAAACATAAATCATCGTGGGGGATACCATGGTGGGAGTTCCCGTTCTCGTAGCAGTATTTTCCATTCTGGAAAAAGCCATGGACTACATGAAAACAACATACCTGACAATGAAACCGGGAGGAAAGAAGACAAGAGAGAACGCAAACAGTTTGAAGCTGAGGATTTTGTAAGTTTGCTGTAACTTTTATACAAATGAAGTTTCTATTTAGTGCTATTATAGCATCAAGGCACTATTATGGTATTTTATTAGTATAGCTCCTTTTCTCCAGGGATCACACTCCCGTAGGTATTTGTCCTATATGTATATTTTTATGTATCTATATGTATGTATGTTTGTATGTTTTTGAGACGGAGTCCTCTCTGTTGCCCAGACTAGAGTGCAATGGCTCATTCTCGGCTCACTGCAACCTCTGCCTCCTGGCTTCCAGTGATCCCCCTGCCTTAGCCCACCAACTAGCTGGGATTACAGGTACCTGCCACGGGGCCCAGCTAAATTTTGTATTTTTGTGGCGACAGGGTTTCACCACGTTAATCAGGCTGGTCTTGAACTCCTGACCTCAGGTGATCCGCCTGCCTAAGCTTCCCAAAGTATTGGGATTATAGTCATGAGCCGCCACGCCTGGCCGTTTGTCCAATATTTAATCCTTGTATTTTGTGAGGGCTTTTTGTTTATTATCCTCCTAACCCCCATTACCCATTTTCTTTATCCCATTCTTTCTTTTTAAGTGTTGTGTTGCTGTTCCAGAGTCTTAACCATGTGGGTTTAAAAAGTTTTTGGTGTATTTATGTTGTGTTACACTTCATAGAAATTTGAACAATTTTTCTTAGAACTAGTAGGTGAGCTTAGTGCTGTATTTTCAAGCGCCCCATATCTCTAAAAAGCTGTCAAGATTTGGAAAGAATATTTTACCAATACATTTTATTTTAGACTGTTGCTTTTAAATAATACTTGGTTATTCGTGTATGACTCTTAAGTACATCCCAAGATTGTTCTCCTTGTCTTTTCAGCTATTTCTTTATTCAGATTTCTTTCTTTCTTTTTTTTTTATGCCCAGGAATGCAAAGAAATTGTTATTCCAGGTCAGATACATTATGAATGTTAAGTCTACTACAAAAAATAAGTATGAAAACAAAGCCTTTTTTTTTTCCTATTCCTAAGTCTCACATATGATTTAGACAGGAAGTGACATTTAATTTAGGACATAATAAGGAGCAAGCTTTTGTTAAGGGAGAGCTCATGCCAAGGTGGGAGCATCCTTGGTTTATCTTATTTTTTTCATGTTTGTGTGTGTGTTGGGGTGGGGGTGCTGGTGGTGGTGGTATTGAGACAGGGCAGGGTCTGTATTCTATTCCTAGGCTGGAGTGCAGTAGCACAGTTATAGCTCACTGTATAGACAAACTTCTGGGCTCAAGCAGTCCTCTTGCCTCAGCCTCTCGAGTAGCTCCCTCTAGGGCTATAGATGCACACCACCACACCCAGCTCACTATGTTGGCCTGGCTGATCGTGAACTTTTGGCCTCAAGCAATCCTCCCACCCCTACTTGCCAAAGGGCTGGGATTATAGGCATGAGCCATCATAATTAGCCAACCTTGTGATGTTTAAGGGATAAAAGTTCGGATAGAGAGATAGGAAAGGATTTAAATTGAATGGAATTTTTGCAGGTCATCAAAGTACAGAATTTTAGTTTCATTACAAGGTTAATGAGGAGCTTGTTTAGAGAGGAGTCGTGATGTGATGTTAGTTTTTACAGTTCTTAGGTCTTGAATGCATTATAGTAGGAAAGGAGGAGAGAATGATTCAGGAAAAAAATATTGGCTTGAACTGGGTAGTTAAGATAAACGAAAATAGATAGTTTTTGGATATGGTTTAGCAGTAGTTTGGATGGAAGGTTTCAGTAAGAGGAAAAATTTGATAGATTGGATTAGGGCAGGAAGTGATAAGGGATAGAAAAATAAAAGATTACTCTTAGGTCCTATTATCAAGTAACTGTGTAAATACTCTGTATTCCCATGTTAGTGATCTGCTTTTTCCAGTCAGTAATCACCATAACATTGAAATTTTACAATACAGTTGACCCTTGGATAATACAAAGGTTAGGGGTAATGATCTCCCCTCGGAGCCTAATCTGCATATTACTTGACTGCCCCCAAAACTTAACTGCTAGTAGCCTACTGCTGACCAAACTCTTGATGGTAATATAAAGTTGATCAGTACATATTTTTTATATGTAATATATACTGTATTTTTACAGTAAGCTAGAGAAAAACATTAAAATCATAAGGAAGAGGAAATTTATTTACTATTGATTAAGTGGAAATGGGTAGTCATAAAGGTTTTAATCCGTGTTTTCATGTTCAGTAGGCTAAGGAGAAAGAGAAGGGGTTGGTCTGGCTGTTTCAGGTGGCACAGATGGAAGAAAATCTAGATATAAGGGGATTTGCACAGTTCAAACCTGTGTTGTTCAAAGGTCAACTGTATAAACAAACTGGGAATGGTAATAGTACTCTCATTATGTTTTGAGGGTTAAATTAGTAACACAATTAAATTAAAACTGTGCGACACATAGTAAGTACTCAGTAAAAACTAATTGCTGCTATTATTTTTTATATCCCACCCGCATTCTCAAGATGTGGTTATCATTATTATAATCCTAGACTTGGCAGAGTATAATTTTTAATAATATACTTTAAAGATGCTGTGCACATGTAACCACCACCAAAATCTTCTGTTTAGTTTGTATCTCTGAAGAAATCATAGGGGTATGCATGTATACTTGCTTTATAATAATCTCAGTACAATGTTACTAATCATTTTTAGGTGATTAAAATATTTATATTAGAATTCATTTTATTTAATATATATTAAGTACCTTCTTTAAATGTGGCAGTTTGTGTGCTAGGAATATGAAAAATACCTGATAGAATACTGGAAAGTCAGGATTTTGGACGATAAATGCATCTAGCAAGATTAGCTTTAGAGTACTCATTCAGTACTCATCTCACTTTTCTTTTTAGTAATCCTGAACATCACTTGTTGAAATACAAATTTGGACTTGGCTTTGATAGTGAGTGTGTTATCTAGTGATGAAAACTTTAAGAACTGGGGGCTGTTCATGCCTGTTATCCCAGCACTTTAGAAGGCTGAGGTGGGGGGTCAAGTGAGGCCATGAATTTGAGACCAGGCTGGGCAACATAGCAAGACCCCACATCTACAGAATTTTCATTAAAAAATTAAAATTCTTATTAGGCCGGGCGTAATGGCTCACTCCTGTAATCTCAGCACTTTGGGAGGCTGAATTAGGTGGATCACTTGAGGCCAGGAATTCGAGATCAGCCTGGCCAATGTGGTAAAAAACCCTGTCTCTACTAAAAATACAAAAGTTAGTTGGGCATGGTGCTGCTCGCCTGTAATCTCAGCTACTTGAGAGGCTGAGACAGGAGAATCGCTTGAACCTGGGAGGTGGAAGTTGTAGTGAGCCGAGATCACATCACTTTACTCCAGCCTGGTTGATAGAGTGAGACTGCATCTCAAAAAAAAAAAAAAAAAAAAAAAATTAAAAAAATTGATCTGATTTTCCTCTTCTCTGATCTCAACCTTATGCTAAGGAGGGATTATTTCTCAGACTGATGCAAAGACCTCCATTCTTTTGAGTGTGTGTGTGTGTGTGTGTGTGTGTGTGTGTGTTTAAATCAAGTTTATTAAGAATGTTAAGGAATAAGACAATGGCTACTCCGTAGACAGAGAAGCCTGTTTTTTAATTCTGACTCATTTCTTAGTTATGGATATGGAAAATATTAAACACTCTAGTTTTCTCTGACCAGCAATGAGTATAGATAGTAACTATTTTAATGGTTAGCAGAGTAAGCTGAGAGTAAGGTTTATGAGTAATTCATCTTTAATACAGACTGAATGTGCTTTATCTGCAATGCTTGGGACCGGAAATGTTGTGGATTTTTGATCTTTTCAGATTTTATATTTAGTAGTTCAGCATTCTTTATCTGAAACTCCAAAATCCAAGTGCTTCAGTAAGTAGGCAGAGCGTCACACTGGTACTCAAAAAGTTTCAGATTTTATAGCTTTTCTGTACTAAGAACCCGTAGCTAAGAGTTGGTCATATTTGATTCATCAGTTACAGCATGTATGGTTTTGAGATTGCTTTTAAAGGATTTATTTTTAAAATGTGAAATGTTTGTTCCAACTTTCTTCCAGCCATCTTTAAATCCTGAATATGAGAGAGAACCAAATCACAATAAATCTTTAGCTGCAGGTGTGTGGGGTAAGTAATTTTTTATCTGTATTTGAGGGGCACAAAATGTTGATATTTATAGATTTCACTTTTTTGTGTTTTTAAAAATAGCAGGCTAGAATAAAACTTTATTTTTAAAATACTTGTATTGGATGTGCTTAGCTACAAAAAAGGTAACATCTTTAAAAAGGAGGTTTGGAATAGAAGAATTTGATTTGAAGCAGTTGCTTTGCACATGTTAGTATCATTAAACATACTCGAATATGACTTTTAAAAAATGATTATAAGTTTTGAGAGCAGCCAGATAATCCTAAAGAAACAAAAACTTAGTTTAAATTAATTTTTAGTTGTTTGAAGTTGAAAACTTTAACTGTCGAAGTACTTTTGATCATAGTGTGAAATGAAGTTAATGTTTTTACCTATGAAAATGGTTATGTGTATATTATAGACTGTTAAAGATAATTGAATAAAATTTGCTTGTGGAGCTAGTTTATATTTGAAATTATTTGCCTCTGATTTTCAAAGCTTAATGAGAGTTCTTCTGGTAATACCCACCCCCCCCATTTAAAAAAAAAAGAGTGCTGACAGTTCAATTTGATAGCATTTTAAAGAAGATTACACTGAACTCATAGTACAATTTAGACAGCTTTTTAAAGATTCAAGTGAAGTTTAAAATAATGGAAAAATTTTTTAATACTAAGATTTGACATCTGAAAAATAAATTTAATTATTTGATACTAAATTCAGAGGTGCTCAATCCATGTTGGAACTTCAACACATATTCATTTGTATTTTTCTATTGAAAATCAACAACTCACTAAAATGAAAGGATTGTGGCTTATGACAGCATACTAGTCGTAACAGTAAAGGCATTATTTTAAACTTTGCCACTTCCTGTGCTATATTGTATGTATGAGGTGAAACTGGGGAATTATTTTGTTTTCTTTTGCTCTCCCTCTTTATTTAAGGGCTTTTTGAGGGTGGGGGTGGGGGTGGTCAGACACTTTTGTTAGAACCATGTGAATGGCATTGTTTTTTCTGTATTGCAAATTAGTATTTCTGCCACTCTCCCCAGGCCTACACGCCCAGACACACACATACCCAACCAAAAAAATCTCCCAAGCTCCTCTCTTAGGTATGTTTCCTTATTATTCAGTTTTTCTGGGAACAACTGATTGCATAAGAATATAGAACCACCTGGAAGGTGTTAAATAGAATCTTTTAAGGAATTAGGAATAATTTGGATTTGATTAGAATGAAAGTAAATTTTAAAAATCAAGAATGCCAGTGAGTGTTTGTCATATAAAACTGTAGATACTATTGGTACTGATCCTGGGTTGATTTAATAATCTTAGAAATGATTTAGAGACAAAGACATATTTGAAAATAAGAATAAAATGTATTAATATAAAGATTTTGGTTCTACTGTTTCAGGGTTGGTCTAAGGATTTTGAGTACTAGTTGAAAAGATGTTCAAAAGGAAGATGTACTCTTTACTGTGTTTAGGTAAACTAAGAAATGTGTTTGCATAAACAAAAAAATAAATGGTTAATTGTGGAATGGTTAATGGTTAAATTCCCAGTACTTCCCGTAGGAATACAATGAAACTCTCATTGTATCACACTTTACTATTCCTCTCTCAGTTTCCCCCCTGGGTTCCCAAGTATTGTTTTCCCTATTGCAACATTTAAAATAGCTATGTTCCTGAGGAAGACAAGAATTTTAGGAAAGACTTCAATAGAACTTTTCTAGTGCTACTTCCCTCCAGGTAAGTAAAAATTTACTAACAAAAATATAATATTTATAAAAAGAAAAAGCAATTTGTCCCAAAAACTATAATTTTGTAGATCAAAAACTGGCAGACTTAAACATGATACCCCAATTTGAGAAATACCCTGTGGGGAAAGTAATTAAGCCATTTATAGTATAGCTACATAAATTGAATTCTGATTAGAACCTAGTTGGGTTTACTGGAAACACCTTCATGTAGCTTATACCTGTGATTTCTATAGTGTTTTTATCCTAACCAGGATCATCTGTTTGATGCGTAAGATTAATGGTTATTAAATAGTCCATCTCCATGCTCTTAATAATTTAAAACAGGAATTCAAGCTGCCATGAGAATTTAATATAATTGTTTGATTGATTAATTTTTTGGGTGAGGAAGAAAGAGTGATGTACATTCAAGTGTTTGTTTACAATTGAGTTGAGTTGCATTAATAATTAGTGGCTACTGATCATGTGTTTTCAGAAGTCCTATAGGCTGTTTTTGTGTTAGTACGTTGGCAACATATTACTGGCAGAGCTTAACATTTACTTACGATATTAAATAATGAGAAATTTTAGTGACTAATAATTAGCATAAGCATGGTCTTCTTCCAGCTCAGCATTTGTATTTTTTTCAGCTCCTTGGTAGTTTGATGAGCATTCTCAATTTTAGCTCATATTTGATAGACTACTTAAGAGCATAAAGGTTCATTGTTCAGAGTTCTTTTGGTTTGTTGAGCATTCTAAATCAAAGCAAATTAGTGACCAGTTAATATAGATGGGTTGTTTTTCTAGAGGATTCTGATGATATTTGCCACAAGCATACAGATTGAGTGAAATGATTGCATTTCGTGAAGTAAATTATGATGAAAGCCAGTGGGGTTGATTTTACTAATAGGAACTTTGGTAAACAGAATTAAGGGAGGGGAAAATTCTTCATTGAGTTTCTTTGACAGTATTCTGTTGATGAATTGCTTTGTTTTTATATTGAAATGACTTCCACTTTTTAAAATATCTTACGAAAACGATGTTTTAAGAAAAGTCATGCAACATGTGTTCAAGGTTGAAAAGAGAAAATTAATAGGATTTGAGTAGACAACTTGATACAACTAGATACAAGTACATTTTATTTGGTCTAAGTTAGAATTGGACATTGTTTATATTTGTGAAGTGCATTTCTTTTTTTTCTTTTTTTTTTTTTTTTGACGGAGTTTCTCTCTTGTTACCAGGCTGGAGTGCAATGGCGCAATCTCGGCTGACCGCAACCTCCGCGTCCTGGGTTCAGGCAATTCTCCTGCCTCAGCCTCCTGAGTAGCTGGGATTACAGGCATGTGCCACCATGCCCAGCTGATTTTTTGTATTTTTAGTAGAGACGGGGTTTCACCATGTTGACCAGGATGGTCTCGATCTCTTGACCTCGTGATCCACCCGCCTCGGCCTCCCAAAGTGCTGGGATTACAGGCGTGAGCCACCGCGCCTGGCCGAAGTGCATTTCTTAAGTGTGTTCTTTATATTAATAATGTTGGGAACCCCCATTAAAGGGAAAATACCATATTGATTGCTATTGATATAAATTATAACAGTGAAACTCATTTGACTAAAACTCATAGTATTATAAACTGAAATAGATTTGCCAATTAAATGAGAACATTAAAAACCATTCAGGTGTGATTGTTCATGCCTGTAATCCCAGCACTTTGGGAGGCCAAGGCGGGAGGATCATCAGAGGTCAGGAGTTCAAGACCAGCCTGGCCAACATAGTAAAACTGGTTTCTACTAAAAATACAAAAATTAGCCGGGCATGGTGGCATATCTGTAATCCCAGCCACTTTGGAGGCTGAGGCATGAGAATTGCTTGAATTGGGGAGGCAGAGGTTGCAGTTGCAGTGAGCTAAGATTGCACCACTGCATTCCAGCCTGGGTGACAAAGCAGCACTTGTGTCCAAAAACAAAAACCCCCACATTAAAAACCAACAAAATTCAAATAGCACCAACCTTTATAAAAATGATCTTAAACAGATTATGTATTTTTTGGTAGTAAAATTAGTGTTCACAATAGCAACTTGTTTAAATTGCTGTGGTATAGATTTGTTGCATTTGGTCTGTGTATACTATTGTCTTAATGTGAGCCAAGTTTTCAAATTATTTGAAAGCTTACTGGGTGCAGTGGCTCATGCCTGTAATCCTAGCATTTTTGGAGCATGGAATGGGAGGATCACTTGAGACTAGGAGCTCAAATAGTAAGACCCTCATCTCTACAAAAATTAAAAAAAAAAAAAAAATTAACTGGCTATGGTTGTGTATGTCTATAGTCCTAGTTAACTTGGGAAGCTCAGCTGGGAGGATTGCTTGACCCCTTGATTTCCAGGTTGCCGTAAGCTATGGTTATGCCGCTGCACTGCATCCTGGGCAACAGAGCAAGACCCTTTCTCCAAAGAAAGAAAAGAGAAAATTTGATTAATTCAGATACTAATTACCCTTCACTTGGCTACATGCTTTTGTTTATACTTTAAATTTGCCTCTTGTGTCAAAATAATAGGAAACTAAATTAGTATCTGGCATCAATGTGATGGTGACTCTTGACGTCACTTGGAGTAGTGCACACTTAAAAGCCTCTTATCCCAACCATTCAGTGTAAGTTTATTAGTATTTTTAGTTGGAATGATAAACATTTTGAAATATCTGGCACAAGAATAATTTCCATTTTCTTCATTAATATAATGGTTAAGAGTATTGAGTTTAGAATCAGATGTGGCCCTAACATTAGATCTTTTGCTTGTTGATTATTTAGATTTTGGGCAGATTTCTTAATCTGAGTGAATTTGCTTATCTGTGAGGTGAGGGTGACCACAGAAATCATAATGAGAAAAGCATTGTTAAGGTTAAATTGTCTACTATGTAAAAATCTTTGGTTATGTCACAGGGGTTTAATAAATATCAGCTAATTATGTTGTTCAAATCCAATAAATGAAAGAGATTCTAGTTGTAGAATTGTTAAAAGGTGAAAAATGGATTTCTAGGTAGTGGGCCAAAGAATGAAGTAGTTAAATGTAGTGATTGAGTTAGAAACTTCATGTATGTAGAAGGTAGCTATATGGAGAGTGTAGTGAAAGAAAAGAGATGAAGAATTGAAATGTTAGCTCTGAATTATCTGTGTGGTCAATTTACTTTGTATTATGTGTGGCACTATTTTGATTCTAATTTGTCTTCCTGAGAATTGGGCCAGTTTCCCATCACCACTGCTGTTATAGAAGAAAACTAATTCTTACATTCATGGCTATGGGGAGAGCATGAATAACAAGACATTAAAGTTATGTTTACTATTTAAAGTCAGTTACAGGGCCAGGAGTGGTGGCTCAGGCCTTGAATCCTGGCCCTTTGGGAGACTGAGGTGGGAAGATAACTTAAAGCCAAGAGTTCGAGACCAGCCGGGGCAGCTAGCAAGACCTTGTTTCTACAAAAATAAAAAGATCAGTTATTGTCAGGCCACAGTTATTTGTGAGGATATAATATTTGCCTTCAGTTGTTCTGAACTTAAATTAGACCATGAGAATACCTGTGTAGGTGAGCTTTAGTATTAAGTACATGAAACTTATAGAAGGAATTCCCTTATTTTCTTATTCTTTTATAAAAGTGTTGAGGTCCTTCATCAATATATAAGTTTTCTCTTTTAAAATAAAAACATTTGGGGTCTTGTTCTTATAGTTAACCAAGTGACAGCAAATATTGGATAATATTTGACTCTGAGACCTTAAATATTTGGCAAGGTTTTTCCAGGAGAATTTGTGGGAAAGTCTATGAATAGATGAGCCAATTTATAAATAATATAAAATGGGTATAAGTGATGCAAATTAAGTCTTGCCTTTTAGTGCTACATCACTTCTTCCATTACTTAGAGATTATTGTTACCATTAAGAACACTTCTTTTTCTTAAATGAGCAGGTTTATGTCAATTATTCAGAGTTGTTTTACAGGACATAGATTGGTTTTTATCATGTCTGTCTTAAGTTTTTCTTATACTTACAGGTCAACCTAAAATTCTTTTTTTCCCCTTGCTGTCTAATTCCAGGTTAAGCAACCTGAAATTCTTGCAAAAGGGCACCTTTAATTTGAATTGTAATTGGAATTCAATGTTAGTGACAGTGTATGGCTTTTCTGTATTTTTTTCTAGTAATTATTTGAATATGAAACATTTCACAGAAAATCTCAGAAAAGAGCTATTGTTTTTCATTTTATAGGTGAAAGATTGATTAACTCATATAAGGTTATACAGCTGATAAGATTGGAGCTAGTATTCAAATTCTGATGAATCCGGTACAAAAGTAGGTATTCTTCTGTGCTGTAATATTTAAATGCGAATTCTTTTTGTTGACTTTGAGGCAGGGTCTTGCTCTGTCCCCCAGGTGGGAGTGCAGTGGTACAATCATGGCTCATTGCAGCTCCAATCTCCTACCTAGGCTCAATCGATCTTCCTGCCTCATTTTAAAATTTTTTGTGGAGATGAGGTCTCATTATGTTGCCCAGCCTAGCTTTGAACTCCTGGGCTCAAGTAATCCATCCTACCTCCAGAAGTGCTGCGATTACAGGTGTGAGCCACCGTGCCTGGCCTATATATGAATATTTTTTTTTTTAGATGGAGTCTTGCACTGTCTTCCAGGCTGCAGTGCAATGACGTGATCTCGGCTCAGTGCAACCTCCACTTACCGGATTCAATCGATTCTCCTGCCTCAGTCGCCCGAGTAGCTGGGATTACAGGTGCCTGCCACCATGACTGAGCAATTTTTTGTATTTTTAGTAGAGATGGGGTTTCGTTATGTTGGCCATGTTGGTCTTGAGCTCGTAATCCGCCCACCTCGGCCTCCTAAAGTGCTGGGATTACAGGCATCAGCCACTGTGCCCGGCCTAATACGAATTCTTAATAAACACAATATTGGCTTATCTCTCCGCTTCCCTTTCAGTCCCTGTCCTCTTTCTTCAGGGACCTTTGTCATCTCTTACTCTGCTACCTACTCTTCTGTGAGTGATTTCTCAGGTTTCACTTTTCTTCTTTATAGGATATTTCGTCATTCTTTGCACTGAAGACCTCATTGAGGAACCAGCCAGAATATTTCTTATTCCTAGGTGTCTAGGAATCCAGTTTTAGGGAAGGTGAAATTTGTACTCACGAACTATATTGAGGCTTAAAGACGAAATACCTACTTGCCTATCTAGTTTCTCTTTTGCTCCCTTGTTTTTGTTTTGAGACAGGGTCCCACTCAGTGGCCCAGACTGGAGTACAGTGGTGCCATCACAGCTCACTGCAGCCTCAACCTCCTGGACTCAAGCAGTCCCCCTATGTCAGCCCCCCCAGTACCTGAGACTGCAGGTACACATCACTATGTCTGGCTAATTTTAAAAAATTTTTCTGTAGAAACGGAGTTTCATTATATTGCTCAGGCTGGTGGACTCCTGGCCTTAAGCAGTCCTCTCACTCTGGTCTCCCAAAGTGCTGGGATTACAGGCATGAGTCACCACACCAACCTGCTTCTCATTGATTGCGTATGTATAAAATTTTTTTTTATCTTGTATCTTCAACCTTCCACATGGGATCATTTTCCTTCTGCCTAAAGTACATTCTTTAGAATTTATAAGGATCTTTTCTTGAATTATTTAATTTTTATTTGTCAAAGTTGCATTTCTGCCCTCTGCCATATCTGTCATTTTCAAGTCCCAATCTCAAGGTTGTACATGGTAAATTAGATCCTTCCTCAGCTGTTAGGTTCTTTTGTGTAAATTGAAACTTGTTACTTACTTCTCTAGAAATGTGTGTTGAAATTATTTTTTTGGATTTGACTACTAATGTTATTTTGTATAGTTGTGTTTGGTTTCCTCTCTTATAGTAGCCTCTGTTGGCCATGTTTAGACTGACTTGTGTGCAGTGATAGAACTGCCCCTGCTTTAATACCTTGATTCCTCTCAGATGAGATTACCTTTCTCCATTTTGTTAGCATTGATCATTCTTTGGATTCCTGGGTTTTACTTTAGATTTTGAGTTACATGCTATGATTTTCTCTTATAGTTTATTAATTTCAAGAATCTTTTTTTTGTACTTTATCCATGCCATCATCATCTGTTTACCAAAAATAATTGGAAATCTTACATTGTGTAGTACAGTTCTTGACTGTCCTTTAAGATCTTTATTTGTTTTGTTAACTTTATTGTGTAATATCATCAGAAAAGCTATACTTCGGTGATAATACTTTCTGTGTTTTTATGTGCCAGAGATGTCTTTTTTAGCCCATGATACTGGGCTTTTTTTTTTAACTGTTGGGAAGTTTGAATCTTTAACCTCTTAAGTCAACATGTGTTTAGTTTTTGGAAATACGAACCTCTTCTCAGGTTATTTTTAGCCCTTGTTCTCTTTATCCTTTAGCATTTCAAGTAGGTGAAGCACCATACCAGCTTTATCTTTTGGAGAGGTTGAATCCTCCCATGAACTGGCAAGTCCCTCTGGGTTTCCCTAGGAGTTCATATTTAGTTTTGGGTTTTGAGATGATGCATTAGGAAGCTTGATTTAGGTTTTGGGGAAGGAATCATTACAGGTATTTACCCAGCTCACTAATACTCATGGTCTTATTTAATGTGCAGAACTCATTTTAATTTAGAATTTCTGGGATTTCTCTCTTTAAGCATTCCAACTGTGGAACATGCTTTCAAAGCTTTTGTAAGGGAATACATACTTCACTGCAACATCTGTTTGATTACATACACACATTGATTAAATTATAGGAATAGTGTTTATTTTTAGCAACTGCAGTGGTCTTGAGAAAAGTCTGCCTTTAGCAATTATTTGTATTACTCTTCAGAAATCAGGATTGAGTTGGTTGCTCTGTATTCATATAATGCTTTTAATGTAGATAAATGGTCAATAAATACATGAATGAATTTATATCGTGAAATACAATTCTCTTTTTTCTTAGTCATAACTGAAGTATGTAGACATAAAAGGAATATAATTTCTTATTGGTAATAACTTTGTAAGTTGAGTAAAAAGGGAGAATGAAAAAATTAATTTTAATTCTCTTTTCAAATGGGGAAGGGAAAAAAATAGAAATGTATTTTATATTCTAAGTCTTAAGATTCATTAGGATGAAATTTGCAATTTTTTATAGTGAATGCAAGGCATGATAGAATGTAATTTGTCTTGGTTTTGACATTCTGGGCCACTGTCTAGCAGAATTTATCTGTAGTACTTGACATTGCCCAATTCTTCCTGTACTCTGGGATAATGTTTTAGCTTTACTTCTTAAGTTTGAATATAGTTTGTACTTATTTAGTTTAATTATTTTACCCAGGGGACAGCTATTAGTTAAAAAAAAAAATAAAATGTTTGGAATATACTGTTCTTTTGGTGGTTTTATTCAGTACTAAAATTTGAAATTGTGAGTGACTCTTGGTCGTGCTTTATTTATGCAGAATATCCTCCGAATCCTAAATCTAGAGCTCCAAGGATGCTGGTCATTAAGAAAGGTAATACAAAAGACTTACAGCTGTCTGGATTCCCAGTAGTAGGAAATCTTCAGTCACAGCCAGTTAAGAATGGAACTGGTCCAAGTGTTTATAAAGGTTTAGTCCCTAAACCTGCTGCTCCACCTACAAAAGTAAGTTCTAAATTACCACAAATGTAAGTTTTGAGTTGATACCAAATTATGTAGTATAGGGGAAAATGTTAAAGAATTTCAAGTGTGTATGGAGGTACTTCATGGGGTGCTGAGTTCTAGGTGGCAAGAGTTGACCCATATGTGCTCTTAATTATCTTTGATGTAGTGTGTGTGTTTCTATTGTTTAGTAGTAGTAAGTGAAACTTATAATTTCTTTTTTTGCTAGATGTATTGGTGATGTATTAATGATAATGTTGTTTTAACTGGTGCTCAGTTTTAGGTTTTGAAAACAATGTTTATGTAGCTTTGGAAAAAATAGCAATTTAGTTATCTAAATGCTCAGTTTTGATTTTATTTGTAGAAAAAGAAAGGGACAGAACTATGTAGGTATAATGCAGTGTGATACAAAAATAATTGTTTTTATGAGTCTAGTGTAGTCGTTTTTGTTTTATAATAGTCAATGTTTTTGTCTTTCTCCTATAGCCTGTTTTTGATAGCCATTAATGTTTGTGTGTTTTCCTTTAGCCTACACAGTGGAAAAGCCAAACGAAAGAAAATAAGGTTGGAACTTCTTTCCCTCATGAGTCTACATATGGTGTTGGCAACTTTAATGCTTTTAAATCAACTGCCAAGAATTTTAGTCCATCAACAAATTCAGTGAAAGAGGTATGACATTAAAAATTACTCTTGAGGAATGTAACATGATTATGATAATTTAACAAAGATTAAAAGTTAGAAATTCATTAAATGAATACATTAAAATGAGATACTTTCATTCCTTCAGAAAACTGGATTCATATACTTCATTTGTTAACCAGTTTTGCACTTTGGGCAAGTAGGAATCATTTAAAATATTTTAAATGAAAATTCCCAGCTGGGTGTGGTGGCCCATGCCTATAATCCCAACACTTTGGGAAGTGGTACAGAAGGATCACTTGGGCCCAGGTATTTGAGCCCAGCCTGGGCAATGCAGTGAAACCCTGTCTCTATTTTAAAAAAAGAAATGCACTGATGGTCCCAGATCTTGGGAGGCTGAGGTGGGAGGAACACCTGAGCCTCGGAATGTCAGGGATGCAGCAAGCTGTGCTTATGCCACTGCACTCTCTTAAGCCACAGAGCGAGACCCTGTCTCAAAAGGAGGGGTTGGGGAGGAATTTCTAAACATCTAAAAAACATAAAGAATAATTTTTTGGGGGGGTGGTGGGGAGGATAGTGTCTCTGTTGCTCAGGCTGGAGAACAGTGGTTCAGTTGTGGCTCACTGCAGCCTCGATCTCCCTGGGCTTAAGCAATCCCCCTGTCTCAGCCTCCTGATCCTCTAGGACTACAGTTGCTTGCCACTGGGCTGGCTAATTTTCTACTTTTTGTAGAGATGAAGGTCTCCTTATGTTGTCCAGGCTGGTCTCAAACTCCTGGCATCAAGTGATCGTCTCTCCTCAGCTTCTCAGAGTTGCTGGAATTATGAGCATGAGCCACCACACCTGGACCAAGAGTAATTTTAAAGAAAACAATTATAAAGATTGCAATGTTATTTGATACTTGTGATAATTATGCTGTAGGAGTGAACTTAATAATGAGGATTTGTATTGTATAATGTCTTTTGGGTATGATGGACGCTTTATTAGTGTTAACATTGAAGCGGGGAGAGAGGAGGAACAAGAGAGAAATGTGTGTATTATTATGGTACTGATTGAATACCTGGAGTTCAGTATTTCTTTCTCATTTGATCAAGGTTTTGAAACTCCCAGAGCAGGGAGCTCCCTGACCAGTCTAGTGTTAAAGGACACCCGGAATACTTACATTATTACACCTGAAATTGCTTTGGGTACCATATTGGAACATCATAACCCCTCATATGCTACTTTTTATTTATGATCTCAGACAGAATTTTTGAACTTTGAGGGAAGGACTAGCATTCCTAGCTGGTTAATTCTGCTGAGATTAGTTATAATATACAAACATTAATGCCAGCAAGTAAGCATTATTATGGTTTGTTTCCGTGGCTATTAATTCCTGTGACACAAAGTTCTAACTTTGTTTCTGTTCCACTGTCAAAACACCAAAGAACCAAAAAAAAAAAAAAGATTCTCTCTCTCTCCTCCCCTCCCTGCCCTCTCACAAACATCTTTCAAGGTGAGATCCACTCTGATAAATCCTATGTATGTGTATAAATAATTATAAAATAGATCTTGTTGGAGCTGTTACTGAACTCTAGAACTCTGAGTAACACAGTTTGAAAAGCTGCGCTTTTATGTATTATAGAAAAGTTTAAATAATTCTAGGATGTATTTATAAAATAATGATGCCTAAATTAGAATCGTTGTTCTGAGTAGCATCAGACCTTCGTTGTTTGTGGGATAAGAAAATTCTTTTGTTGACTCATTCAGTAGGGGAAAAAATAGGAATAGGGAGAACTAGACTTTCACATGGACTATCAGTTTTATTTTGTGAATAAAGGTAAAATAGGAAGCTGTGGTAGTAGTGAATTTTATGTTGACATTGATTCCTTGACTACATATTTATCATTGTTTTTGAATTTCCTCTTAGTGTAATCGTTCAAACTCCTCTTCTCCTGTTGATAAACTTAATCAGCAACCTCGTCTAACCAAACTGACACGAATGCGCACTGATAAGAAGAGTGAATTTTTGAAAGCATTGAAAAGAGACAGAGTAGAAGAGGAACAGGAAGATGAAAGCCGTGCTGGCTCAGAGAAGGTAATTTAATTTATAGCAATATGTGATATTGATATGTCATTGAAATACTTAAGCATGTATTTGGACCTTGGAATACATTAGAATCATCTCCTTGGAAAGAAGATTGGAAAGCCATTTGCATAAATAATGACTTATCTTCTCCCCTCGACCGCCCCTTGTTTGATTTGTTTGAGACGAAGTCTCACTCTGTCACCCAAGCTGGAGTGCAATGGCATATCTTGGCCTACTGCAACCTCCGCTCCCCAGGTTCAAGCGATTCTTGCACCTCAGCCTTCCCAGTAGCTGGGACTACAGGCATGTGTCACCAGGCCTGGCTAATTTTTGTATTTTTTGTAGAGACAGTGTTTCACCATGTTGGCCATACTGCTCTTGAACTTTTGACCTCAGGTGATCCGCCTGTCTCGGCCTCCCAAAGTGTTGGGATTACAGGCATGAGCCACTGTGCCTGGCTATGACTTCCTTTCTAAAGTAGATTTACTTCATTCTATAGTTCCTGTGGAAAAGTAAATTTAAAAAACATTCTTGTTTATATCTGTTTTCTTTTGCTTCTCCCATCTTGCCTGCCTTCATGCTTTTAGTTTTGTCATTGTTGTATAGCTATGAATACTTAGAGCAAGAAAGCTTTGGATATCCATCCCAGCTTAGTTTTTCATTTCTAAACTTAGTAATTGAAAGTATTACATTGATTGATTGAGATAAAGTTTCACTCTTGTCGCCCAGGGTGGAGTGCAATGGCATGATCTTGGCTCACTGCAACCTTTACCTCCTGGGTTCAAGCGATTCTTCTGCCTCCGCCTCCCAAGCAGCTGGGACTACAGGTGTTGTCACCATGCCCAGCTAATTTTTTTGCATTTTTAGTAGAGATGGGGTTTCACAATTTTGGCCAGGCTGGTTTTGAACTCCTGACCTCAGGTGATCCGCTCACCTCGGCCTCCCAAAGTGGCTTACAGGTGTTAGCCACTGTGCCTGGCCACGTTTATGTATTTTCAATGGAAGCTTAGTTAGGAAAAAGTTTTTAATAACTGTATTGTTTAGAAC